TCAAATGTTTCATTACCCGGCTAGGTAACATCTTCAAACAAAACAAAAACCCCGCCCCCACCAACACTGGCAGGGCATGCAAGAGTATATAAACAGAGAGCAAACCCCATCCCATTCCAACACTGAAGGTGTTACCTAGCCGGGTAATGAAACATTTACAGGAAAAGAACCAAGCTCAGAGAACCCCAAGGACTCCACAGTTCAACCCTGAGCTACACATATTCACCTCCATAAGTCCAGGAAGGACTTCTGTTCCAAGCAGCAGGCTAGTTCTTTCCAGGACACGAGAAAGACTCTCATTATCTGGGTTCACTTTCCAACAAGCAAGATACCACAGTAAAATATTTTAGTCAGTAGTTATATACTGTATATAGTTGCCCTATTCCAAAGTATCAAGAATATCAACAATGAATTACTATAAGCACATAAATTATTTTATCAGGGATGATAAAGTAAGGTTTTCCTAGTTGTTTTTTAATTATAATTCCCAGCATTTTTCACCATTACTCTTATTGACAGAACTCCTTAAAGTTGTAGTTTAGCAACATTATCTACATCCCTGATAAGGGATGTATTGCTAAGTCTGCATCAGCTGCAGCTTCCAGACAATCATCAATGGCAGCCCTTAGTAGAACACATTACAATACAGCTTATGAAGCTAGGACTGAGGTGATATATTATGTGGAATAAAGATGAGGGAAAGCCAGATGGGGCATTGCCCCTGAAACCAAGTGTATATTAACAATATCACTGTAGGCTAGAGCTCTCTTCCTTCTCAAGAACAAGAACTCAATATGTTCAGACCCACTGAGTTGCAGGAAGAGTGTGAATCAATTCTATCAGCTGGCTGGAGATCATGTTGAATCTCTTCTTTGGCTTGCAACACCCTCATAAGCTTCTGGCAGCGTTCCTGCAGCTGGAAGGCAAACAAAAATGACATGAATCTTTCACATGGTATTTTCTGCAAGTCTAGCAGAATTAAGTAATTCAGAATAGCCCCTTTTGCCTAACAGCCTCACCTAACAAAAGGGACTCATTTTCTTCATTCTTTGACACAAGATCACTAATACATTATGAGAAGGCCTCTATATCCCCCAATGTAGTACACTGCCCTTTGAATTTATTCAGGACCCAGTTCCCCACAGCTAATGGAAGGTGTGTATCTTGTTCCAGAGCTGGCAGAACTGTGACCATCCTTGAGTTTCCACAGCTTATTAACCTAGACTCTTACTGTATAAATTGGTCGTATAAGGACTGGCCTGACCTCCAACTCCAGTAGCCAATCTCCCTGCAAGATGCTCTTGCGGTATTCCTCCAGCCTAAGCTGCCTCCGTAAGGCATTCAGCTCACAGAGGTCTCTTTGGTACTGTGCACTAGATACATTCCAATTGCCTTTCTTTAGTTGTTGCTCAAGGGCTTCTAGTTCATTTTCCTTGGCCTCTTGCTGCACATGCAGATCTGAAATCCTCTGGTTTACCTCCTGAATCTCTCCTTCCAGTGTCCAAGAACGTTCCTCCCGCCAGAGCAGGGACAAGAGCTCCCCATAGGTCTCCTGCAGCTGATTCCTTTTCTGGATAATTGTTGTCTTATACATGTCCCTATTATCGTTGTTGTTGTTGGCTTTAGGTGGTAGCCAGGTCTTCATATAGTCATGATGGTTTAGAGGTAGTTCAGACTGGCAAAAGGATGCACCATACCAGTGATGGTCCAAACTGCCTTCCATCACTCTTGTGCCATTGCACCTCCGGATTAGGATGGGATGTGAGTGTTCTTGGTGGGAGCTATGCCTGCTGGCATGGTATTTCACCCACTGCGTAGCAAGCTCAGCAGCTGCTAAGCTCTTGTGAAAAAGATCTGGGACTAGCCTCATGATCTTCACAAAGGGTTGGATATAAGCAAAGCCCTGCAGATCAAGGAGGCTCTGGGTATGGAAGGCTTGCTCACAGATCAAGCCCTTTTTCAGGAGCAAGGCCCATTTCCTTCTGAGGGCAAACAACTGCCTGGCCGTATGTGCTATCGACACTGTGGCATGAGGCCTGCGTCCTTTCATGAATCCTGAAAGCAATCTGTCCAGTGAGTCATCATTAACATAAAGGTTCTCACACAAAGGAAACACAACTTTGGCATCAAACTCCTCTTTCAAAGAACCTAGATAGCTCACATAAGAGACAAACCAAGAAATGTAGTTGGCAATGTCAGATTTATCACCACTAACTGTAATTCTCACAATATCCTGTCTGTTACATTTCTTGGACTTCACAAGCTTTTCCAGCTGCTCAAGGCTGTGAATCTCTACTACACCATCATCTTCATGGAGCAGCAGCAACAACACATTGTAAAGAGTGTGAATGTCAAAAGCCTGCTGGCAACATCTTATGTGCTTCTCAAAGGACTGGATCTCATCTTGAAGAATGGTATACAGAGCTTCCACAGGTGCCATAGGTAACCTGAGAAAGGAAAATTGTTGAGAAAAAAAATCACTGGGCAAAGCTTATTGCATAGCTACAGAAACCTATTGGGAAAATCTTTCTCTTGAATAATTGCATCTTGGGACAGATCAACCCCCCCGCCAAAAAAACCCTCCTCAAAACAAAATAGCAGAGAATCTTATGCCTCTTTAAAAATTAATCAATGTACATACAGTACTGGATAAGTTTTCATAAACTAGATGGATGAAACATTATCCAGAAAAGGGAAATATATTTTGTCAAGTGGCAAAAATCCAGAAAGTGTTGTTTGTGAAAGTCACTGCTACATATTTTTTTCTATACCAAACTTTGCAAACTTCCCACTACTCTCCATACACACCACATACGTACAACTGGGTTCAGTATTGCATACATCTGATGAAGTGGTCTTTATCCTATAAAGGCTACACTCATATAAATACATCAATTCTCAAAATGCCACAACTTTAATTTTTACAGCAATAAGTTAACCTGGCTACTTCTCTACACATTGTAATCTACAAGCTGGAACACACAACTGCAATACACACTGAGACATAAAGGAAAGCTTTTTGAGGGGTACTTAATAAGATGCCATCCTCTGACCCTTGTCTCTGTATGAAAAATACACTTACATGTGTCTTAACTTCCACCTTATTCTCTGAAGTTCAGAACTTACCACCTCCAGAAACAGTGCCCACCTTTAGGAAAGAGAACCTGATTACATTGTACTGAGCAGAAGAAGAGATAAACAGTGTTTGCCATGGACACAGCATGTTGGAACTTGCTCTCGGGGCTCACTGCCAAGGAAGAAACTTAGTCCTTGTACTATGAGCCATTAACAATGGAAAACAAGCTTTCAATAGACAGAAACTCATTCTCATTGGCAAGAAAGACTAGGAAGGGTAGAAATTCTAACACCACTACAATATCAAGGAAGACACGACTCCTTTACTCCTCACATTTGGACACAAGAAGGAGTTATTCAGGGTTGCAACTCAAGCTGAACCTGATAAAATTTCAACTGGGTTCACGTAATATACTAAATCAAACTATCCATCTCTGAAGTATCTGTTTTATTGCACCTAATAGTATACCTGACTCTAGGTGGAGAAAAGAAGACTTGCTCTATCTGTTCATCATTTGGTATTGGTACAACTATAGGAAAAGTTTATTTCTTACGTGCTAGAGTTAGGATACTTCTTTTTCCCGTACCTGGACAACTTGAGAGGATGTGTCTTTTTGCAGTTTTGAGGTTCAGTGGTATTGGGGAAGGAGAGATTTTTCCAATACCTCAGTGACTGGGCTCACACACTGCATTAAGCTATGGTTTGATTAAACATGGTTTATACAGTGAGCCACAACTGGCTTGGCTCACCCCACCCACCAAACCATAAGTCAGGATGACAAATCAAAGTGACTGAATTTGCACAACACACTGAACTGAAACTAAGCAAATTACACATTATGATTTAGTGCAACATATGAATGCTGTTGCTTTTTGTTGCATTTTGTTGTACTAACACAACATCCTGTGCTTCCCTCCAGGGAGCAGCAGAGAGCTAGACCTGGCACTAAAGCTAAGAATGGGGCATACCAGCAAAAGGAGAAAGGGAATATATACATAATTCTTCTTTAATCTAGTGCTCATTGCACTGATTTTTCTTAATGGTCTTTGTCATATATTCTCTCACATTTTAAATCACAGTTAAATTGCCATATTTATCCAACATTTTCTCTTTATAAACCCAGAGTGCATCCTGAATATGTGGGAGGATATCTCCTAGTTTGTAGGACATGGGCAACAGCATGTTGATTACTGTTGCAAAATAATCTCTATACTACAGAACCTAGCTTGCATATAATAGTGTGGGACAAAAGTGTGCTTCATGTGCCAAAATTGACTTGTAATGCCCTTACTGAGCAGAATATGATGCAAGTGGCAGAGATAAGATTGGTGACCTAGTTTACACTTTCTCTATTTTACTGAAAAGAATTATCTGAAAGCCTTTGCTGACTAAAGCTATGATAGGTGATAGAAGTCAATATCTATGGACCATCTGGTGATGATCATGGCATATGGAAGACTGAAACTTGGAAAGTAAGAGGATAAATGGTAAAGAGCATGAATTAATGAATAAAATGGAAGAAAGAAAGAAAAAATGTGTCTATGAAACTAAGGAAAAGGGGAAGGATACAATAGATGCAAATGAAGATAATCTCCACTTGTTTCTGCCCATTCAGTGGGATCAAGCAAGGTGAGTGCATTCCAAGTCCCCTTTATTAAATAATGTCATCTTGCAGGACCCAGGAGGTGTGCCTACTGATTTGAAGCACCTGCCTTCTCAAATGAGATCCCCTCAAAGATTTGTGCAACTCCCACCCTTATGACATTTTGTAAATTACTCAAAATCTGGTTGTTCTCTCAGGTGTTGGATTAAGGTGGTTGTGTAGCCCCTTCCAGTTAGGCTTAGTTTCGTTTAATTTAAGTTTGGGTATTCATTCTTCTGATCAATGGTGTTCTTCTTTTTATATGTATTGTTTTCTTTTTTATTTATAAGCCACCCAGCGTTGTCAAGGAGTTGTAAGGCCTTGAAATTTAAGGAAATAATCTGATCTTGTGGAGTAGAGTTGTGGAATATATGCAGGGAAGTGAACAGGTTGGTTAAATTATGAATGAAAGGGCTAAAATTTAGGTCAGAAAGAATTAATGCTCTCCAAATTGTTATAAGAGGGTTTGATAGAATGTCTCCATAGGTTGGTGATTACTGCATGTTATGCTTTAGTAAATTATGATAATGGATGAAGTAGGGATGAATTGGAAAAAATTGTGAACATTTTAAATGAATGTGATCCTGGGGAAAAACTATTGTGCTATTAATTAGTTAGAATGGTGTCCGGTAGTTATCTGCATAGAAAAAGATCTGTTTGTTTTGAATATGATTGTTTTCAATAAGCGTGTCTATTAATATGTATATATGTCAAAAGATTGAATATAAATCTAAGAGCATGAATGATTTGTTTATTATGAAAGATTGAGATAATTAATGATAGATACAAGAATGATGAGAGCTTTTGAATGTTGGACCAATGTGTCAGTAGGGAATCTTGGGGAAAAAGAGGAGGAAGAAAAGGAGAGAAATGAAAGAAACTAGAATGAAAGTCAAATGACTGCATCCTATATGAACAAAAATCAGAAGTTAATCTTCCTTCCAACAGAATGAAAGGAAAGTGGACATTAAGGAAAGAGGATATGAAACTCTTGGAACAAAGTGAAAAGAAATGTGTGGAGTTATGCTAATGTAATGGGAACTATGAAAAAGGATGCTTGAAGGAATGATGAGGAGGAAGAGGCTGTGGATGAGGAAGCAATACATATAAGAGAATGATAGCTGCAGAAATGATGAGATAAAGCTACTGTATAATATGTACATAAAGAGAAAAGAATAGTTGCAGAATGTTAAAAGAGAGCAAAGGTTGGTTCAAATTAAAAGAAGCCTGAGGAAGTGCAAAGCAGTTTTGATGTGAATACAGGACAGAAGTTTGAAAGTGGGTATGAAGGAGCCTCTGGCAGAACCAAACAAATTAAAAATAAAAGTAATGAACTTATTTGGGATGAAATTGAAGTGCGGAACTGCTAACAGTATTTGGACATGGCACTGATACGTTGAAGAGGGAAATTGAAACCAGTGCTGTACATGTTATTGCCCAAGAAAAAAAAATGATGAAAAGGAAGTCCTAATGCTGTGAGAATACAGGAAAAAAAGCATATAATGGAAGTAAAGCGTTCATGAAAACATATGAAACCTTTGCTATTTATTCTCATGCGTGCTTTACTTCCATTAGTTTGAACACTGAGCAGGGACTGAAACTGATGTATGATGTCTTCTTGCTTGATTAATATATTTATGTTTATTAACACATATGGAATGGTTGTAGTGAACATACTGATGGGTGGGATGGGGATGTGAACGAATGAATTATGTAGATGATGGCCTGCTATTGACTGAGCACCAAAATAATGTACACCAAATGTTAGATATACTGTATAGTATGATACAATATGGAATATATGGCACTGAAGATTCATGTGTCAAAGATCAAGGGAGTTGTGTTTGACAGAGAAGATGGAGTGAACAATGGCAAGTTATATATAAGTGGTGAAAAATTAGAGCAGGTAACTGAATTTGTTTAGCGTGGAAGAATATTTACTAAAGACGAGAAAACAGATGGAGAATTTTAAGATGTGCAGATGGAATGCTGAGAGAAAGGTAGTAAATAGTATGTGGTCTATTGTGGAAAGGAAAAATGGCTGTATATAAGACCATGCTTCTGCTTCTTTTTTATATGGGGTGAGAGCTGGGTATATCAGAAGGAATATAAAAGTAAATTGAATGCAGTGGACATGCAGGGGGAATAGGGTACTTAAGAGCATAATAAAGCAAAAAGATTTGAGAATAAATGAGTGATGAACATGAACTGAACACAAAAGGAGTTTCCTCATACAGTGCGCATGAAGACTGAATTGCAAAACAAATATAGGAAGGAAGAGCGAATGAGTTTAGGCTGAGAAAACTGGTTGGATCTAATTGATGAGATGCTCAAAAAAGAGAGGTAAGAAGTTTAAAAACAAAAAGTGATATATGGATCAGCTTATGGACAGGTACAGTTAATGGTATTGTGTAAACTAGATTTTACTATATTATTTTTTCTTTTTTATCTTATGCCTTTAATTTCTGTGTTCTTGTTATTTTTAAGCTACTTGTGTTTGCTATTTTGTTTTTCTCTTACTGTTTTACTTCTTTTTAAAGTTCTGCATAAAGTTGCTTAACCCAAAAGAGAATAGAGTAATGTTGAGTAGAGTAGAGTACACATATGATAAAAATAGGACAGACAATAGACAGTTTCCAAGATGTGATTTCCTAGGTGTGATTTCAAGACACACCAGTGAGGAACTTCAAAAGGCTCTTTGTCTATTACCTGAGTGGGCATATTGATTATTACCATTTCCTCCACTTTTCTGCCCTGTCAGATTCATGTGCCTTAATAGCTTTGTAACAGAGAATTTCTATCATCTATGCCAGGAACCACTATCTAAAAACTATCAATCTGCAACAGAAGTCTGAAAGCCACAGAAATCTTGACAAACCTACTCTATATCAAGAGACTTGATTAGGACAGTGCTCAGGGCCTGGGCACCAACTTCCCCAAGACACCTCTGTTGGTACTCAAAAGGTTCAATATCTCCCCTGAGATAAGCATTTTTAATTTAAAAAATCAAATGAGAAGCTAGCATGTTATCAAGCAAAGGACTAGCCACAAGCATAACCTTTATTCCAAGAATGTTTCCAGGCCTTGCCAGTACTTCAGAGGCACTCTTAGCAAATAAAATTATAAAGGACTGCAACCCAGTCCAGTGTTTTCTTTGCATGCTTTGTAACTGGCCACACCCAAATGGCAGCCATTTTGTGACTGTGCCCACAGTATGGTCTCAAAATTCTCTATCTGGCAAGCAGTTCAGAAGGATTGGGGATTTCTGGCATAGGGTAATCAGCAAGTCCCCAGACTCCAGGCTTATTGATAGGATCTTAGCACACAGCTTAGCGGGGGGGGGGGGGGGGGGGGGAACCTAGACAAACAGTGAAGAGAAAAACCAAAGATGTAGTCCACACTAAGTCAAGCCAGCCCAGCCCCATAAAAATGCTGGAAGGCTTGATGGGGCTACCTAAGATGGAGCAGCTGATGTACCCAAAGGACTACAGTACAGGAAGCTGATGTGGTAATAAGACAGCAATCCCACACCCTAAACATCTGACATGCAACTGTATGGTTCACGTGCTCTGATAAAGAGGAAGAGTAATCTGTAAATGTAAAAAACGTCTTAAAGTCTCATTCCAGTGCCAGTCAATCTTGCCTCTGAAGATGTCTTCATAGCATTTCACAGTCATTCCCCTAAACAGTGAGAAGTTGAGGCAGCTTTAACCAGAGGTCAGTATTCTTTCGGTATCTTGCCTTGCGTGAATGAAGGACTTTTTGACTAGCATAAAATCAACATTGCATATTATGAAAAGGAGGAACTGAACTTAAATGTTTTTTCTGCCAACAAAACCCGCTCTAATTTTCCAAAATACCCATCCTATCT